ATAGGGTTATGAGAAAGCGTGTGTATGAGAATTGGTGCTAGAGATAGTGTACATCAATTGTGGTGTGATCAACTCTATTTATAGGCATGGAGTTACCTGGAGGGTATCCGAATCCTATTAGGTTTCGTGCAGCTCAAACTGCCTTAAAAGAGTCTGTTGGGCTTACAATTATTGGATGGGCCGAGTCCGATAATCCCAGGGGAATATGGACTCGTCAATGCTGATGTTGAAGAGTACAATAGTTTAAACTTAATCTCACCAAGATTTCACATTCCAAAACTGATAAACGAAAGGAGTCAAAGATGTTATTTATATGGAGTTCCCGTAAACCCTATTTTGTGGCAAATTCGACAAATTGATTATGAAGATCTGCATGAATTCAGCGCTGAATCGGATCAGCCTTAAATGTAAAAGTCTGTAGAAAAATATCCTGGTTGTGGATGTCAAAAATCACTTTGAACTCCCATATCAAAGCCAATTGGCTGTGAGTGGGTTGGCCTTTGAAGCTTATAAACAAGTGACAGATCTTTCACATCACCGATGTTGGATAATATTTCGAATGGGATATTTTTGGCCCATTAGGATTGTACAACACAATATTAACTCCTGGCTGTCTGGGGATCACAGGCCCAACTGCTGGCTGCCCGGGGATCACGGGTCCAACTTTTTTACAAATCCACAAATGGTAGGCTCTGATACCATATCAAAAGTAACCTTGGGCTCCCATATCAAAACCAATTGGCTGTGAGTGGGTGACGAAGCTTTGGTAGTAGAACTTCGGTTAGGGTTTCCTACAAAAAAAAGGCCTCGGGGGTCTCCCGAGGGTAGACACTCTGATACTTAAATCAGAAAAGGGTTTAAAGAATATATGTGAGTAGTAGTTTGTGCTAGAGATAGCGTACCTCAATTGTGGTAAAACCAACCCTATTTATAAGCATGAAGTTACTTGGGAAATAACCGAGTCCTATTAGGTTTTGTGTTGCTCAAACCGCCTTAACAGAGTCAGTTGGGCTCTTTACTCGATTGATGGGCCGGTCCAATATTGGTGATGGATATGGACTCGTCAGTGGGTTGGCATTTGGAGCTTATAAACTGGTGACATATCATTCACGACATCGATGTGGGATAATATTTCCCAACGGTGGAATCTTTCCAAAGCTGACCGCGAATAGTTGATTGCTTCACTGTATCTTTCCAGCAAGGTACCCCAACTCTTCATTGAATTGCCAAAAATTGGGTCAAATCAAAGACGAGACTTGGACGACTTCGGACAACGTTTAACAAATATCTGATGAAGAACTTCTTCTGGCAATTCTGATATGCTCACCATGGTTGAAACACAATGCTTTCCAATGTTCCTGCAAGCTAGAAGGGCTTTATATAAAAACCGAAGAAGGACAAGAATTATACTTGTCTATGGATTTCTGATTAAGGGCGGCGTGTTTCCTTTTGTATTAATATGAACTTTTTCTTTTACTATGTGTGTTTTGTGGGCCCGAATATGGGTGCGCAAGTCCTGTCCATATACAATTTGCATAGATAGCTAATTTCGCGGGTAGAGTAAAATTTGGGCGAACTTTTTGATTGGTTTTTTTTTTTTAAAGAAAAAAACTTCCGGGGGCTATATGAATAAGTGACGCAAACGTGTGAGGCAATATATATATATATATATATATATATATATACTAGTGTTTACCCCGCACGTTGTGCGGGTTGTTCAAGATATAAATGAGTTTAATGATATATTGATTATATGACATTTCTAACAGAGTGATACATATTAAAAAATAATATTAATGATAAAAATTGAAATTGTGTAATTTTTAATGTCAATATATTTTTTTATTTTTTGGAATAATTTTAATATTCGCAATCATCTAATACCTTATTATCCATCTTTTGTGTTTAGTTGATTTATGGCTTTATATCTTTAAAAAATATACTCTTACATAAATATTTTTACCCGTGTCACATCTTTTAAATTTTTTTCCTCTAACAGAAAAGTTTTTCGTTACATATTTCAATAAACTTATCTATTTTCTATCTCTCCATATACCTTTTGAGACCTTACATTAAAAGTGTGTATGTATATTTTTCCTATAATATATTTTTAGTTTTTTTTTGGTTAATAGCCTTCGTTTTTTTTTTCTAAATATAATTACTTCTCTTTAAAGCTTAATTTGTTGATAATTTTGTAATAACTATTTCATTTTTCACTATTATCTCGATTTTTTTTTCACATTTTCCTTACTCTCTACATAAGTTTTTTCCCCCATATAATTGTTTCAATTTCTTAATGGGTCTTTTTTAATAAGAAGTCAAATATTTATAACTAAAAAAATAATATAAAAATGAAGCTAGTGTTTACCCCGCTCGTTGTGCGGGTTTTTCAAATATATATGAGTTGAATAATTTAGCAATTATATAACATTTCTAATGGAGTGATATTCATAAGAAAAATATTATTAGTGATATAAATTGCAATTGTGTTATTTTTAACGTCAATGTATTTTGTTATTTTAATTACATTTGGAATAAATTTAACTATTGGAAATAATCTCATGTAACTTAATGTCCATCTTTTTGTTTCGTTAATATATGGCTTTATATCTTTTAAAATGTATTCTCTTATTTTTTGTAATAATCTTTCTAAATATTTCTATCCGTGTGATATGTTTTAAACTCTCCCTCTAGTAGAAAGTTTCTCATTATTTTTTTTCATGAATTTATCTTTATTTTTCATCTTTTTATATATCTATTGCAACCTTTCTTTGGAGGTTTGTTCATATATTTTTCATATGATATAGTGTTTTTTTTTTTTCTTGGTTTTAAAGTCTTCACTTTTTTCTTATTAAATTTGACGACCTCTCTTTAAAACTTCATTTCTTGACAAATTTGTAATAACTTTTTCATTTTCCACTGTTATCTCTAGTTTCTTTTTTCATTTTTCTTATCCTCTACATAATTTTTTTCCATATAATTGTTTTGAAATTCCCAATATGCTTTTTTTTTTCTACTGTTTGTCTCTCACATAAACCTTTATTATTTTTTCTCATTTTGGAAAAATTTCTCCTTATTAATTCTACATTTTTTGATCATCATAACATTAACTTTTTCTATCATTATGTTATATGAAAAATAGAAAAAAAAAATAATTAATCATCTAAAGATATATATATATATATATATATATATATTGTCTTGTTACAAATTACCAATCTTCATTAAGGTTAGAAGATTCATCGATGAAAATCACATATCACACTAAAATTCTAAGATGCATAAGCAAAAAAATAAAGGAAAAAAAACTATTTAACACCCGTATTAATTCTCTTTATTAGGATAAAACAATTTTGATTCTGGACAACCAAAATATACATCTTATTATTTTATTTTTTTTACCTAGACGTATTAATGTTATAGGGCATAAATTAATTAACATTTATTTCTTATAATTTTTTAAAAAAACTTATTGTGTTTGATACCAATATTTAATTATATAAAATCTAGGAATAAACACAAATAATCTAGCAACCAATCTTGGGGTCAGTCATATTTAAATTAGTGCACCAAGCTGATGAACTAAACAATCCAATCATATCAAACTAATAAGATGTGCTAAACTAATAAGTTTATTTATCTTAATTAGTAAACTTATTACTTTTTTAGATTCGGCTGAGTTATCAAAATCTAATAAATTTACAGCCAATAAGTTTACTAAACTTATTATTGCTTAGGTTTTGATTGATGACTAAGCTAAAGCACCTGACTAAATTGTTTATAAATTTAACTAAGTTGTGCTAAGTTTTTCTTTAGGTTTTATGAAGTTAACTAAATTGTTTTGTTTTATCAATTGTGTTTCTCTTCATCAGGGTGTGTGTGGGGGAACCGATACTACTAAAAAATTAGGAAGCTAACTTTACTTTTTTAACTTTTGTAATTATTAGTTAATTTAGCTTTATTTATAATTTTTTACATTAAAATTTTATCATTAAATGATGAAGTGATGTGCTTGTGACATGTGGACTTGGACATCTAATTTTGCGCCACGTGGATTAGACTATCTAATATCGCGCCATGTGTCCGATTGAAAACTCTCCTTTATTATATTAAAGATATATAATATTTAATTTTTTGGTACAGAAATAAGAGGCCTATAAGCCTATTACATATGAAGCCAGATGATTAGCTAATTACTCTTCCGAAATTCATGAGTCAAAACTATTTCCCACCAATATACTTGATTTAATCGACTGCAAATAGTTGTATTTTTTTTTTTTTGAAGAATAATTCTTTGGATATAATGTTTGATACTTTACACTTTCCTGTACCTAAAATATTAAAATACGAAATAAATTATCATTTTTTATAACAAGATTAATTTTAATTCTGTATTATAGATACTTCTCCCATCCCACAAAAATAGTCCACATTAAGTTTTGAGCTTTGTATTGTTTTTAATAATTTGAAAACTCAATATGGACTATTTTTTGGGATGAAGATACTAATATTTTATAGATAAAAAAAACTCATCGAAATCGTATTCCACATGAGTGCAATCAAGAGAGTTTTAATAATTTTAAATTACTAGAATTTTGATTAGATTTTGGTTCATTATTCATTTCATCCTATTCCAACCGGCCTAACATCTTACATGGCCTCCCAGGCACATTAGGATTTTTTTCCCCCTTTTGTTTGTTTGTTTCTTTTTTTTTTTCCCCCTATTTCTCTTTTTGATACAATACACACCTAAAATTAGAAGCAATTGCTCCTATTAATTTAGATTCCAGCGTGATTAAATCTATTCGAGAACGTACTCACCTTGTGCGAAATAATTATTTAATTTTTGTATATTCTTAGTACATGACTAAAAAGATTTTGAGTCTGAGAAAGTATAGTCTTACATTAATAAAATTGAAGGACACATAAAGTCTTAAAAAGATTTTGAGTCCGAGAAAGTATAGTCTTACATTAATAAAATTGAAGGACACATAAAGTCTTTAATACCGATGCTTGGTTGAGTAATCTTTAGGAGCAATAACTAGGCCACGACCTTTTCTGGCTCCGCGATAAACAGTCTCCACAATGTCAACAAACTCTTGTGTGTCCTTCATCGCCCAGTTGATCTTGTTGTTATTTCCAGTGGCCAGATCAATCATCATATGCTTGTTTCTGAAGAAAAACATCACTGTGGATGGATCATAGAGCTCGTACATTGCGTCAAAATCGGGAACTTCGGAAATATCCACCAAGTATATCACCGCAAAGTTCTTAATTGTTTCGGCCACTGATGCCAACACTTCATCCATCTGCATACAAGTTTGGTCCCCGTCATGGCCGAACCGGATGATCACCAGCCGATTTTCTTCCGCGAGGATGGCTTGATCGACGGCCCAGCCGGAGTGGAGGTGAGGCAGAAGGTACGACATTGATCGTTATTTTATTCAAAGTGAAGGAAAAACTTGGACCTAACAACGTCAAATAACGTTAATGATTAACCTAGAACGAAGGAAATCACTTAAGCGGAGAACCAAAGTTAGACTGGATGAGAATTATGATATCCTTCCTCTAGTGGGTATTTTATAGTTTTTTGAGGTAGTGCTGCAAACTGATCCTTTTCGTATTCGTAATAGGGGTTTATGAAGATTTAGGAAGTATTCTTTTCCGTTTTTTTTTTAATTTTATAGAAAATTGTATTGATCTATGATTTAAACCTACGTTTTCTGAGTAGGAAATTAAAAAATTATTGTTTGGTAGTAGCAAATTATTACAGCTTGTCAATTTGTTCTTCTTTTAGTTACGAGTTCCTAAAAATTATTAAACCCGTAAGAGAATTTTGTTCAAAAATTGTACGTAAAAAAAGAATTTTGTTCGAAAAGAAAAGAGAAGAATAGACTAGATTATCAACCAAGGAAAAATTTCCTTATTCTGGGAAAGCCCCTAATCGATACTCCAAACTGAAACCACCACAATAACCGTATACAATTATAATTGAAAACCCTATCCCTAATGTACTTGATCCCTGCACCTACATCAACTACGTAAGTCTATAAATATTGCAAATTATAATTGTTTTCTTCTTCTTCTTCTTCAGTTCTTTCACAAATACTTTACCAATAAACTAAAGATTCTAGCATCCAGGGTTAATTTATTGGTGTTTCACCATGAGAAGTACTTTATCGGAATTCCAGAAGATATTCTTCATCAAATACTTGATTATCTCACAAGCCAAGACGTGATTCAATTAAGTTCCTTATCGAAGGGTTTGTTAACCGTAGTCCGCAGGAGTCCTAATCTGGTTTTTGATCTTGAAGAAATTTTCCACCGGCACAAGATTAGTTGGTTGGATATAATAGATGATAAAAGACACAGAAAAGCACTTGAATATTTGTTGTCTATTTTAGATGGATACCACAAGGATAATATTTTCTTGGAGACTTTTACGTTTAGGGCTCCAATTTGTTTCCTTCCGTCCCGAGAAGTTGCGGGCCTTTATGATCAATGTATTGAATTAGCCACAAGAAAGAGTTTGAGAAACCTCCAGTTACATAATCTGAATGGCTTGCCTTTATCAATGCTGGAAAGTAAAACGTTGGTGGAATTATGTTTGAACAACTGTACTTTGCAGCAACAAACAGGGAGACGAATGTTTTGGCCTAATCTCAAATGACTATCTCTCGATGACGTAAGATTTAACGAGGGGACATTTGAGAATATGATTGGAGGATGCCCTTTGATCGAAACCCTTGAAATTATTAGTTGCTCCTGGTTTTACTCTAGTTTCAAGATTACCAATCTTCACAAACTTAAGCAACTGAACATAGTTTGCAAACTCGCGATCCTATTCTACGATCCCAGGTACCTAAATCGATCCTGGATCGATCAAACTCGAATTTTGCATTAGAATCGGAGTGAGATCGGTCAGAATCGGTTAGAATCGTACAAGATCGGTCAGGATTGTAGGATTGGTTCGAGTTTACTATTTATTAATTACAAAAAATAATTAAGTTTATTGAAAATTTTCTTTTCTTCATTTCTTTTGGTCTACATTCAATTGAGACTAATATTCATTGAGGAAGCTTTTATTGCTAAGAAAAATGTAGTTTAGAAAGTTTTTCTAATAAAATAAAAAGAATAACTATAAGAAAAGAGTTTTAATTAAAAAGTTACGAAAAAATTTCACATACGAAAATTTAATTTACACAATTCTTTTCGTTTAAATGTTAAAACTTTATTTAAAGATAATTGAAACCTAATTATTAAATCAATTAATTATATAATATGTATGATTAATTTTACGATCCTATTATTACGATCCTACTGCAAACATTTTGGTCCTACGTAGAATCGTGATCCTGCAAACATTGCAACTGAAGGTTTCTTTAGCTTATGATCAAACTGTTGAAGTGAATGAAGCACCAAATTTGGAATCTGTAGCTTGTACATTTTCTACGGATGCTAACAGACTCAATTTTTGTAGTTCTGAATACCCAAATCTCAAGAGCTTGTTCCTGCGTGATGGATTGGACAGCGATTTTTCAATTGATGACGGGCGGAGCGGAAAATTCCCGCAACTCGAAGAGTTGTCCATGGAACGTTACTTGAAGTTGCACACACTCAATATATATCATGTCCATCGTTGAGGAAAATACGATTGGCAGGAGTTCAAAGTTTGCTCCACGCTGACTTTAATGTGCCAAACATTGCTGTTTTCGAATACGAAAACAACTCTTACAAAAACAATGTAACTTTTGTTTTTCCCAAGTGCTCATTTAAGGGTTTCACGGCCGAATGGGTTTCTCGCGTCAGATTAAGTTGTGAGGGCAATGTGGATAATTTGTGGCTCTGGGTGGCGATAAATACATTAACACGGGATGGGATGAACATACAAAACGTTTTTTCAAGTCAAATTTCTGCTGTATTTTATTTCACACGAGGTGGCTGTAATTTAGTGGACCGACGACCGAGCTAAACTTGATGAAATTTCATTACAGTCAACCATGGATTGATTTTATTTGTTCCATCACGGCTACAGTAAGTTTCTTTTAAGACATCCAAAAACCAAATCAGAATTTCTCATGGATTTGTCATGGATTTGTCCACGTAATACTGCATAGCAATGTTTGTAGGATCGTGATCCTACGCGGGATCGAAATAGGGCTATAAGATTGGATCGTAAACAGGATCGGTAGGATCCGAATAATAAGATCGTAAATATTAAATATATATATTAAAAAAATTACTAACAATAATTTTTAGATTTTTTTAAAGCTGTATAATGCATTCATTCTAACTAAAATAAGAGCATTTACATTATAATTTTTTATTATTTAATAATATGATAGGCAATAGAATGAGTAATGTTCGAGTTACAAATTACTAGTACTTAATAAGTATTGGTTCACATTTACATTTAACAAATAAAAATATGAATTTTCTGATTTTGCTCTAATTTCATGTTTTATGTAATTTAAAGATATGTGTATGAATAATTTGGAATGATTGAAAATTATATATGATTAGGAAACGAAAAGCTTCAAATATGTCGTGGACCACACCCACGAAAAAAAATATATGAAGGAACTGCTTATATCATCAAATTGGTCATTGACCAGTTGACCCCTTCTTTTTCTCCCTCAAGGTCACGAGTCACCTGTGAGAAACAGTTTTGGCAAGAGAACGAAATAGAGCATATAAACTATGTGATTCTTCTCTCAATGGAGTACCCCTAAAGAACTGCAAAAAAAAATCAATTTCTTTTAACTTTTTCCCTCTTTCTATCTTCCTTTTTAAAGTTTTTTGAATGAATTGGAGTAATTGTTCTGGGATCGGTAAACTCGACAGGATCGTCCAATAACACCGATTCCGAGCGATTCCAACGACTTTGTTCCGATTCCACATCAAAAGATGATCCCAACTGATCTAGAATCGATTTCTTTATCCGGATCATAGGATCATTCAATTCTATGATCCGAGATCGCGATTTTCCAAACACTGCTACATACGATATGACTAAAAATAAAAATTTTGAATCCTAACCGACTTAGCATCACGAAACCCGATCAAGACTAGTAAAAGGAATCATATTTGGGTAGTTCCTCGAGCACTATAAATAACCAACAAGGAGAATCGTAGTTCCACAATTACCGAGTTTTGGGAAACCAGCTTGTGGAATCTCAAGGAAGGCTGGAATTTTGTGTGAATTCGGTCATGTGATGAGGACTTTGCAGGAACGGGTAGACTCGGGCAGTAAAATCTCAGTGCATGGCTAACCGCGCTGCTGCTGGGTGTAGTCCCGGGTTTTCAGTGTGGCTAGCAGGAATGATTATTGGCGGTTACCTTTTTGTATGCTGGCTTTGTACTCATATTTTTCGGAATTCCTTGGGCAGTTATAACTGCCGTCCCTTGTATATATCTCGGATATGGCTTAGCCAGTAACCTATATGAGAGATTTGAAAATTGTGTTGTGCAAGTTTTGATGTATTTTCCTTATGTTGCGAGTTAATAACATAAGGTTAGGTTTTTTACCCGTAGATCTGTTGCCTACTTGCTCTTTTACATTTATATATGATTTCTACTACTTGTAAAGTGAGTTGTGAGTGTTAGATCAAGGTACTAATAACCTTATTCATCCTGGGAATCCATAAACGATTAATGGGGGTGTAACACTTGCCATCATCGGCAACGGAGGACCTGACATGTCGAGTAGGAGACATACGCGAGTAGAGTCTCCTTCTAGTAGTACTATCCCATTTCCTAGTAGGTTCCACCCTATAATAGCCTAGGTACCTCCAAAGTACCAATAGGTGCATTCTCAAAAAAAAAAAGTTGTAAGCTAAAATATGATTCTTCCGTCTCCGTAAAACCTGTCCACTTTCATGAAATTATTCTGCTAACACAGAGGACGACGAATCTAAACAAGTTGTTAACTAAAAAAAATGCAAATATGACTATTGCCTACAATTCAACGAGGGGGATTAGTCACAGTTGCCGACGGTGGACACCCTGCAAATATGAAAAAAAATGATTTTTTTAACATTAATCCAGGTAACCTAGTCATAAATAAAAGATGACTTTTTCCGGTTTTTTTTTTAAAAAATTATTTAATTGAAATGAGTATTCTCCTACTAAGACAGAAGGAATGAAATTTGTAGAAGTTAGTCAATGGAATGAAATAAGTGGTTTGCTTTATATAACAAGGTGAAAAGAACATTTGGATTATATTTTTTCTTCTACCAAGTGATTTGTAAATGCTTTCTATGTCTTAAAATTATTGTCCAGTTTTGATTTTCAGTTTAAATTAATTTTGTATTAAAAATAAAATTCAAACTAGATAATAATTATATCCTACTATATTAGAAACAAAAACCTCCCTTTCAAACACCTCATATGATTGCCACGTGGCATATAGAAAATACTAAATTGCCCTTTTGTCTAACCATAACTAAATTACTAAATCTCCCTTTGCACTTTACGTGACACGTTTTTTTTTAATTTTTTCTTTATGTTTCATTCAACTAGAGTAGTGTTTTAAATTGAATTGATCAATTAGGTTTTTTGTTACAAAGTGTCAATTTTGTTTTAAGTGTATACCCTTCGGATGAAGCTTATTACAAAGCTATTAAAAATCTCCAAAACTAAGTATTGATTTGGCACGACCAATGGAGAACATCAATAAATCATCTTACTAATATTTAAATTTATTAGGATGATTTTATATTTTATCTAACATTTACTTCAACACATATATTCGATTAAGCTATTTATATTTAATAAGTAACACTTATAAAACATTTCTAAAACATACATGGCGAAATACAATTTATTTTTATTTTTTGCAAAATATAAATATTTCTATGATCACACTTATAAAACATTTCTAAATCCTTCAAAAATTTCTAAAATATATCGCTCCAAATACAAAATTTTATTTTTTTCAAATATAAATATTTCTAAAATCTACAGATAGACTGGGCCAGGATCGCGCATTGCGCAATCAGACATCACTAGTCTTAGACGGAGGGAATACAACATTTGATATAGCTCTTTCGCATGACATATGTTTTATGGGGTCGTAAGAAGAGAGATGATGGAACTAGGAGACTCCATACTTGTTCCAATTTGCAGTTCTCACTAAAATTTTCTTTGCTACGAATGTATTTATAATTTAACTCTATAGGTTCTAAAAAACATAATCCACGTCAATATTAACAGAGAAAGTACCTTATTAACTTGTTGTATCTGACTACCCCCTTAACCAGCCTACTTAACCGGTACAAAAACAAAGTCAAGAATTGAATTCATATCTCACAGTTAAGTGCCCTGAGCATTACTTCGTGCTCATAAATATGGAAAAATTATTGGATAGAACTGTTATATCCTGTTTTTTATTGTAACAAGTACTAGCATCCCCCTATTTTGGTGATATAACTCTCGTAGAAATTATCCCTCTCTCCTCAAAATTATTACTTTATCCGTATTATTGTGTTTGGATGTACAAGTTTACGTGGTACAGCAGCTGCATTGAATAATTTCTGCATAAACAGAACCATATAAATACTTTTACCTTTGTCACAATCACAACTTCTACCATTGAAGTAAAATGGAAGTCAAATAATTTTTTGATGTTCTATGTCTTCCCGTAAAAATATTCATATTTATTATTAGGATTTAGTTTTGTTGATGTGAAATGGATGGTCCAAGTAAAGACAAGTGGATGACTCTAATTTGGGAAAACAAATTACTTAATTAATTATAGAAAGACAAATGGAGACTAATTAGTGTTGATTATTCCAATTTGCAAACCCGAGTTGAAATTACCCAATTATCCTTTCCTACTTTTTTATTAAAACAAAGACAACATGAATATTACTTTTTTCACCTATTCAATGAAAAGCATAACCACTCTCAAAAAAAAAAAAAAATGAAAAGCAAAAAAATCCCTCAAAAAGTAATTTGTCTCAATTGAAAAATCCACATTCAGACAGCATCATTTTACCAAAATCTGGACAATGCAAGAATCAAAATACAGTTCTTCCCGTTTGGATTCCAGATTGACTAAAAAGGCAAGTAAAAAGGACAAATTGGAGACACCCTCCACATTGTTACTATATTTCCTCTTTAAGTTGCCAAAAAGAAAACCTCCAAAAATTTCATTTACAATGTCAACAACCTGCACCAGACAATGAATCTAATAAGCATAAACTATATTTGAAACAAAAAAACAAAATTTGACAGAGAAGTAACTTAAAAAAACAGAACTAATGGATATCTTGCGCCACATACAAGTAATTTCAACAACCATGATTACGAACTAGAATAGGTCCCAAGAATAATGCTTCCTAGGCAAGGTCTACTAAAGCAGTTGATGACAAGAAATCAATGGTGAGGTTACTAAACCTTGGAAACATGGCGTCTTCAAGTCAAAGTGAAACCCAACATGTTTAGATGTTAACTTTAAAAGGACATACATTGCTGATAGAAAAACCATTGCAAGTAACAGAAGTTTCAAGTGAATCACTAACATAGACACTTCAGACTAGGTTTATCTATACATTGCTGAGAGGTTAATGTAACATTTATCCTTGAAAAAGGATCATAACACGAAATAATGTTATCAATTCTTTAGGTCTTATCATTAGGATAGATTACTTACTTTATGCCAACATTGCCTTTTTCTAGATCGCGGCAGGATTCACTCTCACAGCGACAGCGAAAAGCCTCCACCGGATGAGTATGGTCATCAAAGTCAATGCCATAGTCCTACGATACACATATAACGCTTATTTAATCATAAAGGCAATTGTTTGCTCTTGCAATGACAATAATATAAGCATAAATGGGTTTTGCAGAACTGCCACTCTGAGATTTATTGAGGTTAAGAAGATAAACTACCCTATTTCTTGAGAAGATTCAGTGCCTCCGAGTTCTTCAAATACATTGTTCATGGTGAGAAAAAGAGACACTCTTGTGACTGTTTCTTCAATAACATTATTCATGATGAGAAACTAAAAACAGACACTCTTGTGTTCTATCAGTCTGAAATTTTGAAATTGCTATTTATCAAAGCGTAGATAAAATTCGGAAAACAGATAAGCATGGGATCTGACAACAGAAATACAGTCTGCTGGAGTCCAGTTAACAGGCAGGCATTCTCAAATCTCAAGCATAAAATACCCATACTCCTATAGAATGATGGTCACTGTAATACTGTGGTAGGGGATGCTTACCCAAGTCAACTCTTCAGAAGCGTGAACTTCCCTATTAGTAAAAAATGCAAGCTGCAATTTCAGATAGAAGTAAGAAAAGGACAACCCTCCTCCGAATATACATGGTGAACAACCAAGTAGAACTAAGACTTACATGGTAATAATGATGATCTGGAGTCTCCACTTCAACCGGAATTTCCACTAAATTATCGTCATAGCATCTATAGAAAGTAAGTTAACATGGAAATAAGAACTATAACCTATACAAGTAGAAGCAGCTAAAAGATTGAAATAGAGAGGGATTCTAGAGTTCATTTGCTGCGAACAGGCTAATAAGGTGTAGGGGGAGCAAAAACACAGATAGTTGGAAAAAGAATATAAAACTGAAACTGAAAGAGAAGTGTACAATACAAGAATGAGAATTACAGTTCTGCAGCTAAAAGCACAATTAGCATTGCTGCCAGTTTAGCATCTGCTACCGCAACCATTAACCCCGATTTGTTCTTACTTTTAGAGCAAAACAGATGCCAAATGTTGAGCTGTTAAATTTGGTTATATTGTGAGCATCAATTTAGGTTCTTTCTTTTTTTTAATGAACATTATCTGAAAACTTTCCATTTTTTCACCAGAAAAAAGGTGTAGGTATCATACTAAGTAACAGATAGATGGGAAAGAAGAAGCCTAAAAAGGAAAATCAAGATCCTCTACGGTTTTCCACAGCTGATAAATGCATCAATATAATATCTTCATTGGCTTATCTAGAGTACCTGTGATTGATAAACCTCGCAACATTTCCAAACAATGTTGCATCCAGACAAAGTGCCTCTTCATCCTTCAAGACACCTTCAGTAGACCAATCTGCATCTAGTAGCACTGGATATGTGTGCTTCTTTCCAATGCTACGTGAGTTGCGATCAAACATTTCCGTATTAGTTACTATCTCGCCGACATACTCACAAACAAAGGCACCTTTAGGTAAGTCTTCAAGAGTTCTAAGACCCCATCCCTTCTCTTTGGTCATAAAAACCTGCACATGTAAGGAAAAAACATATTTTGGGGACAAGAGTTATGCAACTGGAAGATATACATTAAGTCCATTAAAAGTGGTGATATGTCAACATTATTATGGTCTAACCTGCAACTTGCGGTTTATGCCACGCTGAACAACGCGATTACCACAAGCCATGGTGCAACCACACTTATACCAGCACTCCTTGATAAATTTTCTGATGAGATGGCCCTTGCATACGCCAGATAAGCTTTTACTCGTGGGCTTTTCCAGCGGACATTCTTGGCAGTAAAAGAAGTTTGTCTTCTGTGGACTGCTTTTCATCAAAATAGTGTCTTCAAGAAACTTTTCCTTAAGTAAACCCCCTGGAACATAAGCAAACTCCCCACCAGTTTCACCAGCACAGGCACAAGGTAGTTCTGCCATCAAACAATCTCCAAAGCAATGGGAACCACAATTGTCATCTGAGATACGAGCTAGAAGAAACTTGACATGAGCATCTCTATAAACTATGTTACGGGTGATGTACTTAAACAAAGGCTGACCCTCATTATTTATTTCATTTATCAATGAAATCTTGACATCCTCTTCCCCAGTCGTAATATCATCAACTAAACATACAGATTCTATCATGTTAGGAAACGCATGCTGAGCAACAACCATAATTTCTGCAGTTGAAGAGCTTTGATTTCTAAGTCCCTCAAGATATATATCACAGTAACTGCCAGATAACTTCATTGGTAATCCTATCTTGCTTTGGCTAAAGTCCAAACCATTCAAAAAACGGAACCTTGGAGGATCAATGTAAACACCAGCTGTATTAGCGACATGATTTGAAACAACTTGACCACCTAAGTCTCTCGAAGTAATAGGATCAGGTTGTAGTTCTGCACAGCTAACTCTCTCATTGCCAGAGGACATGATGCCAGTTGCTAAGAAAGTCTCGCATATCTCATTCATCAACTTCACAATTGAGAAGTCTTGTCGGGTAATGTTATATGCTTCAACATACTTCTCCTCCATCCTCTTTAAGACAGCATCTAAACTAGGAACACGAAAGTTTGATGGAAGTGACGATTGGAATGTCACAGAAAGTTTAACTTCCCCCTGGCAAGAGGAAGCAATGTCTAAACGCGAACCATTCCAAGAACTCTCTTCATCTATGGCTGAGTATTTGGGTTTCGGATGATAACCTAGAAGAAGAGGTCCCTTTGTAGATGAAGAACCATCTACATTGACGGAAACCAGACAAACATAAATTTCGCCATATAAGACTTAAATTTTGCACATATAGTAAATCTTTATATGACCCAATAGTGACTTGATCAGTCATAAGTAAGAATCACTAGGTTGACAAAAGTGATGAATACATAAATTATCAAGTTAAAAAAGATGCAATTGAGATGGAAAAAACACTCATAATAAAACTTGCCGTATATCTACTAATTTAATGTTTCTTAGTTTTCTTACTTAGCAAACTCTCGGAATTTTGCATTTAAGTCTGGAAAACATAATTTGATCAAGAACAGAGATTTTAATCTCATTAATTTAATGGCCCGTATCGAGTTAGTAGAGTTACATGCTATGCTTGACCGAAAGATAAACTTACATGTACCTTTGGTATTGAGCTCTGTCACTTTAGGGGATGTCGAGAAATTTCTCTTTGCATTAGAATAATTGCTTTGAATGGAAGATCTTGCATGATCTGCAGGACAAGAATGAGTATAATTATAGAAATAAGATGAACAAAGAATGTGAAAATTATATTTGTATTTTATAGAAAGAGAGGAATTACAAAAGAAATCAATTTAAATGGAATTTCAAACACATGTTTGCAGACAAATGCCACAGCAACCGCATTAACAATAAGTTTTTTCCAAGCAAACAACCCAACCGAATGGAAGGAACTAAAGATCCGACTGTATTCTCTCATTCCATACACACTATCCAAATTATTCATTTTAGCAGATAAGGAGATTAAGAATTACCAGGGTGAACAATGGCTAGAGGGCGTGGCTCGGACATGGTATCAGGTAACCCTCGTACATTCTCCTGGCAGGCCTTTAAATTATGAGTTTCATTCACCAACTTATGGACGGATGGGGAGTTATATTCATTGAAATCATCATCCGGAAGTGGCTGAGCTGACAGAGGATCAGATTCATAGCTTCCTTCAGGTGAGAACAGATGACTTTTCTTAGTCTGTGCGAACTCTGAAGAAGAATAGTAAGAACTGCCTTTCTGTTCTCTTTCAGGACAACGTTGCATAGGAGTGTCAATCTCATCTTCAGTATCTCCTAAAATGACATAGCAATGAGCAGAAGTAGCCAACTTTTCCTCACGAACAGATTCAGACGTTACCTTCATCACATCATGGAGTGGCTCATCTTTCTGCCAATCAGAACTGGAGCTAGAAACACCACCCCATGTCAAAGCTTCATCTGTGCGACTTGTTGATCTTACTTTTTTGGGCGGCGGTTCCTCCCCTTCAGGCTCATCAATTAAGTGGAACCTCCGGCTTTCCTTTAACTGCTTCAACAGTAACAATTCAGAAAAGAGGAACATGACAGATTAAATGTGAATTTTGAACTAAGGCTCCAACAGGACCAGTTCCACAAACTGAAGATATAAAGCTTAGATAATTGACTTTGACATTTTATATTCGAAATAACAGTGAAAGATTGAACAAAATCTATGACTACAAGCATAAACGATCAGTTAAGTTATGAAGTAATTAACATGGCAAACATGCCAAAGAAAAAGAGACAGTACCTTGCTATCCTCACTCTCAAGAACAGCATCCACGAGGACAGCATAATCCTCATCTTGAATAAGTTCCCAATTTTGCTCATACACTTCCAAAAGGCTGTTCAATACAGGCTTTACAACTTTTGAATCATATCCAAGCTTACTCATAGCCCTGTAAGCTTTGATGCGATTAGATTTTGCGTTTCCCACCATAGCTGTTGAAGGTCCAAACTTCAGTACCCTATTCAACAATGAACATAACACTTCTACAACTAGATTAAAAGTACAATTCGACCTTAGTCCCAGTCACTGCAACTAGAAAATTGTACATTTGAAATGGCGAAGAAACCAAAGAATGCTCAAAGATCAGTATAGATCTTATCAACAGAAAGAAAATTGAGTTGTCCAAGAAACTCAGGAATGAAAAACGTTCAGCACTGAAATCAAGGATTAAACAGGTGGGAGCATCGCACCAATACAGAAACAGACAAGGCCAGTCAACCAGCAATAAATGAGAAAATATGGCTTGTTATAACCTACCATATGCGACCTGCATGTATTGAATCACATCTTCAGGTGCTCTAAATTTTTAAAAATTAACACCTCTGAATCAATTTTGTTTTAGAATGTAATTTTGTTAAACATAAGGTTCCATAATGAAATAAACTAAGAACTGAACCCGACATTAACCACCCTTTAAGAAAAACATGCTAAACTTACTAGTTCTCTGCAATCAAAGAAGCTTGCAAATTTAAGGTATATTTCATGCATGACAACATTCGACTCAATTAGATCGTTAAAGATTCTACCATAGCAAAAAAAAAAAAAAAACCAATTGTGATCATGCATGCTGCAAATGCTGCAACTGAACTAAAACAAGTAACGAAAAGTATGCATAAGTCTCGGAATTCTTAGACTTTGGCCAAATTAAAGCTTGTTAGACTTTAGCCTAGTCCATTCTGTTAGGTGTGTGCCAATGACAGGATGATATTGGTTAGACTAGACAGACTACTATGCTGAAAACTAAATGATCTTAGGCAACTTCTACAGGGACTTTCTTCAGACATAGAAAACCACTGAAAACCATAAGCAGAATGGAGAACAAGTAAATTCATAGAGTTGACAAAAAAATTCTGCTTGTTTTGTGTTCTGCTTGTTTTGTGTTCTGGGATCCCTTAGAAGTGATTTTTGGCTCAGATTTTCATGCATAAATATCACAAAAGCATTCTATTGTGAAGAAATATGTTCCTCCCATTCCTTTTTATAAGAGGTTTAATTAATAAAATGCACTGAAATTTCAACAAAAACACGAAAATCAAAATACAAACCAGACAACAGAGCAAAAATGCCTTAAATACCATAAGTTAACTCAATTTCCAATTTCCTTTTTCTCAAAAATACTTCCATGTCCAATTCCAATAATAGTCTTGTTTATACAACCAACCAATCATAATTTATAAATCAAGCAAATGAGCAATCAATGTATAATCATAAACCCCACAGCGGGACCAATCTATACCCGGCCATCGCCCGAAGTATATATATATAATTCCCTTCAGGAACACAATAGTTCATTTTTTCCAAAACCATTCAGAAGAAAATCCATGTTTCAATGTTCAAAGGTCCAATTTTTTTGACGGGCAGGTCATAGACGAACAACTTTCCAGGCACTAACCCAAAAGAGTTGCTCTCATTCCGACTAAAATTATTCAGTGTCCAATATAAAATACAGTGTTTATGGACAAGGAGAATAAAAAAAAACACACACATTGAAGCACATGTCATTACTTGATTGTGTATAAAAATGAAGATACAGTGATGCACACATATTATTGCAGGATCGATCCTACGTAGGATTGAAATGGGGTCATAAAATCAGATCGTAAATGAAATCAGTAGGATCGAAATAGTAGGATCGTAAAATTAACTATACATGTTATAATAATTAATTACTTAAAATAATTAGGTTTCAATTATCTTTACATAAAGTATTTAATATTTAAACTAAAAATAATGTGTAAATTCAATTTTCTTATATGAATTTTTAGATAAAAACTCTTCTCTTACAGTTTGAAGCATAGAAGAAGCCTTTAAAGGTAATATTTTCTTTTAAGTTTGTTTTAAGTTATAGTTTGAAGTACTCAGACAATGTCTGAGTAAATCCTTTGTCTGAATCAAACATTTGGCTTTTGTTTACATAAATTATACATGGAAGCTCTATCTCCTTCTTCTCTTTTAATTAAAATACAATGATTTGAGATTGGTTCCAATTCCGAGTTCAGTCGGAAAACTCAACAATAAGTGCATTGGGCTAGAAAAGTACCCGTTATGATGAATTGTTTAAGGGAAAAAGAGGCCACATGATGCACAATAAGTTGTGAATTCAGACAGGCTTGAGAGTTGGGTGAAACTTTTCCATGCATCTCGATCATTGATATTTTAATTAAGGATGGATAGAGATTTTGATCCTGTAGTTGGTGACAAGGCATAGCTCCGGATGAATGGTATCGCCAGGGGTGGTGGTTTGGATTCCGGCCTGGTTTCCTTGCTCGTCTGTTTGCTGGTCTTACCGGCTAAGATAAGCACGGCCAGCCCCACCCCACGCCAATTTGGTATCGGAGCGGTTATGTATTTTTATGTTTACAAAAGATTTGTTTGATTCGAACCTAACTTAAAATGAATAATATAGAAAGTACTTCAATAAAAATTCAGTTCAAGAGGAATATGATATGCCTCAACACTTGCTCTTCTTAATAAGTGGTCAATACCAAAGGTACCCACTAATACTTTGTATGAATATGGTATGTTTGATCGATACTTGGTTAAACAGTAGTTAAAACTACTTGAACAATCAATTGCTTTAAATTCGATGAAAGGGTTTTACAACTTTGTCTGCACTATGAGATATTGAATCTTATAGATCTCATAAAAATTATAAGTTCATGCATATTGGATTGGTGCAAATTGCATTTAAACCTTTAACTTTAGAAGGTTTACTGAATCTTTGTTGCTGCCTTACGTGATGGTAGAAATTTACATTGGAAAAAATCCCTAATGGGCATAATACAGTCCAGCCTAGCTCATGGTCCCGTTTATTTTAATGTCTACCCAAATTTACAGCTATCATTGTCTGATGTTAATATACTAGATGCTTTAACCTTAAATGTAAAATTACATGGTTATAATTATTTACCGGGAAGTGAACTTATTTGTTTACATTACCGTATTTGTTTTAAATTATTAAATACCTTAACACCCAGATGTAAGATTATAAGTAAACCATCTGATGAAACCATATTGATAGAAACTAATTTTTATAAATCTCAAATTAGTACTCGTAAAACTATAAAATGGGAAGAAATTGAATTTCCAGAGTCTTGGCAAATTAATAAAGGAAGTAAAAGAAACTCATTAACTCACAATGTTACAAGTAGTAATGTTACAGAAATTGAACAATCTGATAATGGTCAGATAAGTATTACTTTTGATAAACCAAAAATTCCTAAATTACTAAGATCCAGCTCTCAAAGATCTTTTAAATCTTATATTGATCCATTCGATTCTCATAAATTTTCGACATCTTCAATTCCTGAAATAGATTTAACAAATAGAATAAATCAAGTAAAAATTGATCCATATAATATTGTTCGGTCTGCTGATAGTAAGACATTTGACAAGGATATGCCTTCACCTTCTGAAATGGGTTATCATGGCGAATACTGAAAAATTAGATTTTAGTCCAGGATCTAATATTAGACAAATAATAAGACAAGAATTTCAATCTGAAAGGTGGAAACTTTTCAGAGAATGGTTCTTTTCTACTTATGATATTGAAAATCAAAAAATTATACAAAAAGAATTTTATGAATATGCTTCTTTTCACAATCAAATAATATATTTTGTCCCGTGGTTTATAATCACTTATCTTGATAAATATATTTTCCTCCTCGAAAGAGAATATCATCTCGCAGATGGGAAAATTACAAAAGGAATTTACCCTCCCCAAAAAGAGTTTGTTTTAACAAATGCAACTCATATAACTTTTTCTGCCTTTCAAAAATTGGTTGAAAGTGAAGTTTCACCTTCTCTTGTTTCTTTAGTAAATAAATTTATTCAGCAAAATAATTATACAAATTTATATGTAAAAATTTTAGGAGAACAAATTAGTTCTTTACATGATAAAGTTGACAAATTATTTTCTCTCATAGAAAATCTTCAACAAACAGTTAAACCGAGTTTGATTGAAAACAAAAATAAGGATATTAAAATACAAAATTTTATACAACCTCCTCCTATAGTAAAAGATTATAATCTTGAATCTCCACATGTATTAGAAAAATTATTGGAAGAAAAATTTAAAAATCTTAAATTATCCACTTTAGAATTTTCTGAGAATATACAGAAAGATTTTGATAAAACTTTGCGCGATGAAATAAATCGTCTTTCTCATAAATCTAGACATAATAAATTTGCTAATAAACCATATATGAATCATTATTATTACCCTCGACCTTCTCCACAAGATCTTCTTTATGAAGAACATCAAGAAACTAATAATAGTTATAGTAGTCGTTCTGTTTATGAATGGAATTGTGACGCATTTACTGATAGGCAATTAACTAATATGGTGCATAGGATGTTAATGTACTCCTCAGTTGCAAAAGCAAATGGTAATACAGACCAGGCAATCGCAAAAATGATTGTTTGTGGTTTTACTGGTGTCCTTAAAGGATGGTGGGATAATTATTTAACTGAAAATGATAGACAAAAATTTATAATACAGTAAAATTGAGAATGAAGGAACATCTACACCCATTATGATGGAAGATGCAGTATATACTTTGATAGCATCTATATTAGAACATTTTTGGAAAATTTACTAATAATCAAGAAAATATTCGAACATTATTGAATAATTTTAAGTGTAAAACACTTACTTCTTTTAGATGGTATAAAGATCCATTCTTATCAAGGGTCATGGAATTACCAGAAAGTAATAGCTCTTACTGGAAAGCTAAATTTATAGATGGCTTACCAACTCTGTTTGCTGAACGAATAAGAAAAGTTCTTAGGAAAGATTTTCCTTACATTCCTTATGATGATTATACTTATGGTCATTTAATAGGTGTTTGTACACAAGAAGGATTAGCTTTATGTAATGAAATAAAGTTAAATCAACAAATTAAAAGACAACAATTATCAGAACGAAAACA